TGTTCCTGTACCTCTGGGGTTGGGGTGGAGCAGGGCCTTAGCTGGGATACACCTGCAGCCATGCCACTCTGGTCTATACTGCTGTTCCCTGGGATGTATGTGCACTCATTAATGGTTTGATGGAACTTTGGACAAAGTTTGTGCACCTTGGCAGCTCTTTTCTAGGTGGCCTGTAGTTTGGGGATGTGTGCCTGCACCTCCACACAACTGTTCCCCAGGATGTGCAGACACTTACAGATGGTAAGGGGAATTCTGGATGAAGGTTGCACACTTGTGCAGCCCTTTTGTAGGTGGTCATTATTATTTTATAAGATATACTATTGAGGAAAACTGGAAGGCTACAAGGGATTTCTTTATTGTATCTTGTTACTCTTTGGATCTATAATTTTAATAAATTTTACATTTAACCAAAAACTAAACCTGACTATTCCAATTCTTATCTAGATCAAGAGGCTCATCACTATGTCTCTGTCCCAGATAGCCCTTTGGACTCCAAATCTTCATTTTCTGAGTCAATTTAGCACTAATAATAACAACCTCTAAAGAATCGAGATGGGGGGAGTGCCAAGATATCAGCATATATGATATGATCTCAAGTTTAGGAAATATAGATATATGCATCAATAAATCAAAATGAATAAGATAACCTTAATCAAATATAATTGGCCTGGCTGGACTGTCACCTGTGAGAGTAGTTTCTCCAGGATCTACTTACTAACATCTGCTCAGATATCTGTCCATCAGCACCTCTTTGTCCCACTTTAGTTGCCCTGCAGAGTCAAGTTTACCACATTTAAAAAAGCTGTTGCTGCTATCGATGCATAACATACTGCTATTATTAGTCTTTTTATATAAATATAAATAAGTATATATATATATATATATATATAGAGAGAGAGAGAGAGAGAGAGAGAGAGAATTTTGGGAAACTTTAATGGTGCTGTCAACTTTGGAAAAAGTTATTCCAATTTACTGTGTTGAGTTGGCATTGTACAGAAATGGACAGCCATATTGGTCTAGAAATGTTAATTTAATTTTTATTTTTTATTTTTATTTTTCCATTTGTACAGGGGTAATGCATTGTACTAAATATGTATGGTCATATCTATATGGGTTTGATTACAGAAACTAAAAAGTATTCTCTAAATAATGAAAAAAAGAATAAGATAAGACTACAAGAGCAAGAAGCAATTTAAATATGTTAAGGGACCATTTTCATCTTCAGAATTAAGGATTATTTTAATGTTACATCATTGCCTTTTCTCTTTTACTTTCCTTTTTAGTTTTATTTTAGGATTCCCTATTTTTAATGTTCATACAGAGATTCCTTTAACTGAAATACTGAATAGTTTCTCTGGTGTGAAAAACTATAATAGTACACAGGATCCTAATGAGATAATTAATAATGTGAAATAGGAAGTAAAGGGCTAAAGGTGTAGGGAAAGTGGGAAGGGTGGGGGAAAGGTAATAAGGGAAAGGAAAAAAATATGAGAAACTGAAAAAATGGAAGGAAAGTGTTTGTAAATGGGGAGGAGAGGCGGGGGGTGAAGGGAGGGCAGGGACAAGGGGAAAGAATGAGAATTAAGACCTATTATGTAAAGGTACAAGATCTCAATGATGAATGTAACTGTATTGTATACCTAGATTGTACCAATAAACTCAATAAAAAGAAAAAAAAAGTTTCCTTCTTTCTTCACTGTGATAATTGGGGTATGGCTGCCTGACTATTCTCTTTACTAATGACTTAAATTCCATCTTCAGCCAATATAGACCATAAAGGCCAGTGCTCACTTCCTTCCTTTGTGCTTTCCCTAAGTTTAAAGGGGAATGACTGACAACCACTGCACTGACCCCATCCTACCCCCGGAAGCGGCTCTGAGTCTGTGGTAAGTCACTCAAGTCTTAGCTTCTAGATTACTGAGGGTCTCTCCTCAGATATTTAAGGAGGAAAATATAAAATTAAACTAAAAATATAAGCTCATCCAGGTAAGAGAAAATGTGCTTTGAACTTGCTATATAAAGCGGGAGCAAATCCCAATCCTGGACCTTTGAAATATGCCTACAACATACAGTGAAGTTAGAGCAGACCCTAATTTCCCTTGTTCTTTGCAAATTGGAGCTTTAACTTGTGGGGACTCAGCTGAGAGATACAAAGCACACATGACCTGCAGCACAATTCCTTTCCCTCAGCCTGTCTTAAGCCATTTCAAATGAAGATGAAAACTGCCCACAAACACAAATCCTTAAACACCCCTGTCATTTATGTATCTGTATTAAAAAGAAAAAACTTGGAGGGCTCTTCCCTTCCCTATTCATCTCATTAACTCCCATTCTTTTATCATTTGATTAAAGAGGTATCTGCCATATTTCCCTACTTCAAAGTTACTACTTATCTTTTTGTAGTTAATGAGTTTTTTATGAGAAGACACTTTGAAATTATGAAAAGATCTTGCTTTTTACCATAAATTCACTGACTGTTAGAAAATGCTAGTGATTCTTGTATTTAGCAGTTGTTGCTCTGTCAAATACGGGATTGATTTCCTATTCTTAGCATTTCATCTACATATATTATTTGAAATTCTACCATAAGGAGGAAATGTCCTTTCAGCATAATTTTTTAAAGTAGTTATCTGTAAAGCAGTATGGACAAACTGTTAATATATTCCATATATTGTATAGATTATAATACAAATTTCTCATTATTTAATTTGTTACTTAAATTATTCCAGGTTCTACAATTGGAAACCCCTTAATTTTGACTGTGTGTGTGTTCACTGTAACTCATTTGAGCACTTACTTTCTGTTACCATAGTATATTCCAGATTCATCTTGTATATTTCCAGCCACAGTCTTGGGATCAACCACTTTTCCCACAAACTGTTTTCAGTTTTGATTTTTGAGAATGATAGTAACAACTAGTATATGGCTGCTAAAAGTGTTTTCTTCTGAGGTGTTGCTGACACTAAGCCCTCTTAGCACAGACAGCTGGAAACACACCCATACATCTATATTTATTTATTTATATGTTCTCCTATCTCATGAACATGAATAACACTGATACCACTGATTCTAACCCAGAGACTTTATTTTATCCTTTTTCTTTTTTCTGCTATTGAAGAATTTGATTATTATTCAGGAAATACTTATTTTTTCAGTCTCCTAATACATCTAATTTCTAGCTAATGCCTCTACAAAAAAATTTACTAACTTGCCGGGCATTTAAATCAGTGGTTCCATCGCCTGTCTTGCAAGTGCAAGGACCTGAGTTCAAGGACCTGAGTTCAATCCCCGGTACAAAAAAAAAAAAAAAAAAAAAAAAAAAAAAAAAAAAAAAAAAATTACTAATTAGAATACAGTAGTTATGTATCTTTCTTTTGTTAAAATACTATGTTACTTCATCCACTATGCTGCTGTATTAATGTTACAAGTTTATAACACAACTAGATTGCTTTACTACTGCTGATAGTTCATTTTGGCTCCTCCTACAGTCTGGTTTGTTTTCTATTTACTTTTTTAAAAATGTAAACTATAATAACTATGATTCTTAAAGTCAGAACTACACTCCTGGTATGCTCAAAGTAAAGGACTAAAAGGTTATATAGCCAAAGGAGTAAATAAAAATGTAAAGCCATAATGCAATCGATTTAACATGAAAACATATTAAAAAGAAAATAAATATTATCAGTAAAACAAGCAGTAGATGAGCAATCCATACAAATCAAGAGTCCCAGATTCTAATCCCACCTATTTGACAATAAGAAAGTCTTTTAAACTCTCTGAAGTAACTCTTAATTTCTAAAATGGAGTTACAATTGTATGTTCTTGTCTTAAACCAGGGCTGTTATAGTGACTGAAGGATCTGATATATAAAGGCTCTCTGTAAAAACTTTGGTGCACATGTGAAAAATTAGTAAGTGATAGATACCATCCTCAAAGATTGCACTGAAAAACAAAAATTACTGAAGTCAGTAGTCTGTTAGGGTTCTAATCAGACCAAGTTTCTGTTTCACTTCAACATGTAAACTATCCTCATGAAGAAAGCCCAATAAGGTGTGTGTAAAATTGATCCCAAATCCATACTTTGTCCCCAGAACGTGACGGTAAGCGGGCAGAAGTCATAAATTGGATACTATCCCAAACCATTCCAGAAGCTCACCATGCCTCACTTTTCTAACCCCAAATTGACAACTCTTCCTTTGAAACAAATGTGTATTTATTAAGCATGTACTATGAGCTAGGCACTGTACTTAAAATGGAGGAGACAGAAGTGAGTAATAATGGCATGGCCCCTGGTCTCATGGACCTTGGAGCCTGATGCTAAAGACTCACCACAAAGAAATGAGGCAAACCAATAAATCTAGAGGTTGTAAAATGCTCTATAAAAGGCACAACAGGCTGCTTAAGTAAACAGAAAGGTAAGGGAAAATGTCTCTAAATAGAATGATCAGCAAACACCCTTTGAAGGAGTGACATTTAAACTGAAACCTAGAAGATAAGAAGCCCATGTGCACACACAGAGCATATTCCAGTAGCAGAAAAGAGCAAATTTAGAATTTTAAGGCAAGGCAAAGCCTAATGAATGCTAGAAATTATTCAAGAGATTGGATGGCACATGACCAATATGGGGGAAGCAGCCCAAAAGACCACCCTGAACAGAAAGGGAGGGCCAGATGATACACAGCCTTGAGGAAAGTCAGCCGAGGGCAGCACATTAAAAACACTGTGGTCATTTCTGTCTCCTCACTTGCACTGAAGATTCCAATAACAACTTTCGAATACCACGTCCTACTTCCAGAGCAGCTTTCTCGCCAGCTCAGGACATAAACAATGTCCTTCACACCCACAGCACAGTCCAGAGAGGGACCAAATGGCTCCCTAGGTTTATTCATGGAGACCCAAACCTATGATGGTTTAGATCTCCCCAAAGTCTCATGTGTTCAAAGGTGGGCTTTCCAAGGGTGACTAAATCATCAGAGTGTATATTCATCATATCTAGCTACGTCCACTGACGATTTCATAGCTGAAGGTGGTGTTAGGAGACTGGCCCAGTAGGAGGAGGTAGGACACTGGAACTGTGCCTTTGCAGTGTGCAGCTCTCACTGGCACTCTTCGCTTGTGCTTAGTTTCCTGGCAGCCATGCAGGGAACAGCTTCACATCACCACACCTTTCTGCTCTAGTATTTCTGCCTTTTAGCCAGCTGAGCAAAGACTGAATCCCCACAAACTGTGAGCTGCAATACTCTTATAATCCTTTCCTCCTTTAAGCTGCAGGTGTTCAGGATTTGGACCCCACAATGGGAAAGCTGACCAGTGCAGCTCCCTTCTGCCACACCTCATCTTCTCATCCACGTTGTATGCAGCTTTCCAAGGCACGTTGTTACTGATTTTCCCGAGGTGACAACCTTGAGCAACCTAGCCCTGTTGCTAGATATCATAGAATTTTTACAGATGACTGGCTGTTTTTACTTCCTTTTCAATTATTATTTTGAAATATTTTGGATCCACAAGTCACTTAGGAAATTCTTCCCTGCTGTGCTGCAGCTGGCCCATCCGCATCTCCACTGCACAGACAGGCTTTGGTGCTTTCCAAACCCACAGCAGAATCCAACACCACTCCCTACAAGCACTCCCTTAAAGAATGGAATTGTATCAAGAAATACACAAACTACATCCTCCCACAGAAGAAAAGTGCAAAATTAATATCAGTAAATAAATATGCTCGTTGCCTTTCTCATCCAGTGAAAATGTCTACAGAGTTAATATTGCCCTATTTATTATCTTCCAAATGTAGAGGCATGATTACTTCACAAATATAGTGAAGAAAATGAATCCCAGAAAGATGGAGTGACCCTGAAGATATGAGTGGAAGACAGATCAAAATGTTAATCTGTTTTGTTTCATTATGAATCTTCAAATGTCTTCTCAACCTCCCAAACTAGAGTTTATAGTGTTAAAAACCTGTGTTTCTATATTTTCTGAGAATGCTTTGTGTTATTAGTTGAAACAAGATAGCATAATGTTTAGGTGCAGAATTTGAAAACCAAACTAGCTTCTTAGCAATTCCTGAGTGACTCTGGATAATTTAATTTGAACTTTGACTTTGCTCTGTTTCAGTTTCCTCATCTGTAAAATGGGAGCACATGAACATTTAGCCTTTGAAATTCTTGTAAGGATTAAATGAGTTGAGGCACAGAGCATATATAATAGTAGCTGGCACATTATAAGCATCAAATAAATATTATATATTATTACTAAATAATCTTAATAATAAAAACTTGCTGGAAACACTAAAAAGTCACTGTGAACTAGTAGCAAAGACAGCATCACAGCATCATGGCTTTGAATGATGGCAGCAGGTCCCAACATATCCTCTAAATGTACACACTACCCCTGATTTTCAAATGTTCTTCAGAGGCAGGGTTCACATACAGTCAGCTGGGGATGGGAAGGACTGCACAGATGGGAGAGAAAGCAAATTCAAAGAATATATCATAAAACCCTTAACTTTGATTTGCCTCTTGCAAGACTGGCTGAGTTTGGAACCCCACACTGCATATATTCAATTGAGTGGAGCAATTTGTGACCATCAGTCATTGACTGGATTAATAAATGCCTAGAAACCTAGAAAAGCACACTTGTAGGCATTTCCAGAGATGACTGACATATAGGTCAGCAAACAGGTAAGGTGGTCCATCCTGATTGTGGGTGACATCATGCAATAGGTTTGCAGCTTGGATGGAATGAAAAGAGAATGGAAAAGCTGACCTGCGTATGAAAAGCTCCACTGTGCTTGAGGGCTGTGTCTTTTGCTATGGCCATCACCTGTGGACATCAGTCTTTCAGTATGGACTCATACCAGTAGCCAGTCTTGGACTGGCACCACATCTTTGTCCCTCATGTTTTTCAGCTTCCACCTTCTTGCACTCAGCAGCTACTAGATTCTCTGGCTCTCTAGCATACAGATGGCCATCGTTGACTCTCTCATTTCTGGTCTTGTAAGCTTATCTAATAAATCCTTTTGCATAATTATATATAAATGTACAAAATTATACAGAATTTCGTACAATTCTTTTCTTCTATGGAATGCAGGTGAATACACAGTTACCATAGATTTTAAGGATTAAAAAGTAAGAGAAAGGAGTCGGCAAGGCTGGACAAAGTGAAACTAAAGCCAAGTCCAGAATGGCTGAAGTAGGTAGGTAGCTATATTTACAAAACGAAGTAGCAAAGATAAATTAGTAGGAACTCTTGAAGCTCATGTCCCTCCAGCCTGCTGACTTCCTCTTAAATAAAGCAATTAAGTCAGCTGAGATAAGCTAATGCAGTGTTCTCCTGCTGGACACCTGGACCTTGGCTTACTTGACCCAAGCATCTGGCTTTGGGACACACAGAGTTGCCTGTAAACCAATGGCTGGATCATGGCTTTACCTCAGGGCAAAGCATAGCTTTATCCCACTTGAAAATAAATCTGGATTTGGGAGACTTACATCTTGATTTTAAACAAATACTAGTTGAACCCCTCAAATTCTAAACTGGAAATGTAATAGAAGGTTCAGTGTCTGACGCCATAAGCTTTGAATTGATGTTCTGAAATGCTGGAGATGCTTCTCAATCATTTCTTAGATTTTGAATCATTATGCAAAATGCAACAAGGGAACAATCAGTATTACCAAAAGGGCCAATCAGAGAGCTATACTTACACTCCTCAGCTCATATTGTTTTATCAAGATTTATTGTACATAGAGATGCCCAGTCAGCAATAGCAGCAAATGCTATTAGCTCCTTGCTGAGGAAATCAAATTCTAGGGAAACAAAAGCAGAACTAAGTGAAGAGAAACCATAAACAAACTAAGCTCCTTACTAGCTTTTTAGCTTTAGTAAGAGCTTTTAAAAATATATAGATGATCCACGTGATCTGACTTAATAATATTTTAACTTTGCAACGGTGCACAATACCCGTATACCATTCCATTTTTCACATTCATGTCAATATTTAGTAAATTGCATGAGATATTCAACATTTTATTATGTGTTAGATGATTTTAATCAACTGTAGGCTAATGCGTGTGTTCTAAGCATGGTTAAGGTAGTTTAGGCTAAACAGTGTTGTTGAAAAATTAGATTATTAAGTACATTTTCAATTTTAGATAATTTCAAATTCTATTGGCTTCATTGGAACATAACTCTATTGTAAGTCAAGGGACATCTGTCCAGATTTAAAGCTGGAATTACTTTTTCTTGCTGACTCTAAAGTGCCTTTGATCCTCAAAACTTATGACATCACAAACAAGACTATGCAACTGGATCTGGTATGGAAGTTTTAGTTACCTATAGGGACCGCTTTATTTCATGAAGGAATCAGTATGGTTCCTAAATATAGACACTATGACCGACTAATGTAAATAGTTCACTATATTCTTGTCTATTCACTTGCTTTGGTTGGTGTGCAAAGTTGGCTTCAGTTCTAGCTGCTACTAAGAAAAGTGGAATGAGAATAGTTACTCAAGTCAGACTGTTTATAAGACAAAACAGAAACAAAAACAAAAACAAAACCCTCTGGCCAATGGAAATGAAACTATTTTTGAGATATGAAAAAAGTGCCAAGGACTTGTTTCCCTGGTTATTAGTGTGCAGAGTGAGGATTTCATCTGACAGTGATCCTTTTCCGGACCAGAGTATGGCACCATTGTTTGGACACTAGTCCTCAAGTGCAGACAAAATTTATAAGACAAAACAGAAATAAAAACAAAAACAAAACCCTCTGGCCAATGGAAATGAAACTATTTTTGAGATATGAAAAAGTGCCAAGGACTTGTTTCCCTGGTTATTAGTGTGCAGAGTGAGGATTTCATCTGACAGTGATCCTTTTCCGGACCAGAGTATGGCACCATTGTTTGGACACTAGTCCTCAAGTGCAGACAAAATATTGAGTGTAAGCCTTTGAAGCCACTTGTTTATATCTGAATGATTAAATAATTAGAGTCTTACAAATGAGGGACCATGGACAGGAGACAGAGTGTTAGCACACAGCTGTCTGTCTGTTCTGTGTGAGGAATGGGAGAAGATCCTGTAGAAAGTTTAGGGTGAGTGATTATCCATTTTCAGGGCCTGTTGTTTTGTAAGATTTTTTTTTTCATTTCCAGGCAGAAGTTCATTGGCTGCTTTATTTGTTCAAATGTATGTGTGTCTATATTTGCATATTACAACTGTAGAATGAAGCTGAAAGCTGTTGTGTGTGCATGTAGAAAATAGTTTTATGTGGCTCTGGTAGGTTGTGGGATTTGTGTTCACGAACTGTCATAGTCTGTTATGGTGTTTCTGTATTACAGATACTTCTTAAGTATCACTTCTCAGTTTTCACTGTGAAATAGGATTTGGTCACTTCAGTCTAAAGTTGTAAATAACATGAATGGCTCTGGTAGGGTGGGATTTGTGTTCACGAACTGTCATAGTCTGTTATGGTGTTTCTGTATTACAGATACTTCTTAAGTATCACTTCTCAGTTTTCACTGTGAAATAGGATTTGGTCACTTCAGTCTAAAGTTGTAAATAACATGAATGATTGAGACTGTATTAAGAATAATGCAGGTGGCCTAGTCCATTCAGAATGCTATAAAAAAATTGAAAAGTTGATTTATAAACAGAAATCTGTCTCTCACAGTTGAGACACTGGGAAATCTAAGATTGTGGCGCAGGTAGTGTCAGATGGTGAGGACCTACTTCCTCCTTGATGGCACTTTTTCCCTGTGTTTTTACATAATAAGAAGAGCAAACAAGCTCCCTAAGGCCTCTATGGTAAGGACACTAATGCCATTCAGGAGTAATCTCTTTATGATCTAATTGCCTTCCAAATATTATCTCTTACTGTTATCACCTTAGAGAGTGTTCTGGCTTATTTCCAGACCCTGCAAAGCCTCATGGGCTCTGAGGTGGGGCTTTTGGGAGGTGACTGGATCGCAGGTGTGTGATTCTGGGTTGCTGCACTAATGGGTTTGTGGCTGGTTGTAATGTTGGAGGTAAAGCCTGTGGGCATGAGCGGGTCAGTGTGGGCATAGCCTGGAACGGTTTATATTCCCTCCTTCCTTGATCTTGCCCTGCTTCCCACCTGCCACATTATTAGTATAAGATGCCACAGTCCCTTGCCATGCCACCCTGCTTTGGAGCCAGCTGACTATGTCTGAAACCTCTACAAACTGTGAGTTAAAGTAATCCTTTCTTACTTTAAATTGTGGTGTCAGGCAGTTTGTCCCAGCAGAGAGAAAGTAACTAAGGCAGGGGGTTAGAAAAATCTACATAAAAATTTGGGGGGTGAAGGAAACATTCAGATCCTAGCAAGTGCAATTAAATATGTGTCTGTGTGCCAGACAAAGGGACATATTCTTATTAATGAAAAAATAAAACAATTTCGCTTTAAGATAAAATATCCAACATGACAAATGGAAAAAGCCTAAACTTGTATGAATACAAAATGTAGTTGGTCTTATAAAAACAGACTTTACTTACCTCAGTTTGTAAAATATTAAAATTTAAGAATCTGAGAAGAAATTAAATTTGTTTAAAAAATTTGAAAAAGCCATCTCCATTTTCATATAAAAAATGCTATATGAATTCTTTATGTCTTAGTTACTTTCTCTTTTCTGGGACAAAAAACCCAACACCTAAAATTTAAGGGAGGAGAGGATTATTTTGGCTCCCACTTTCAGTCCGTAGTCACCTGACTGGCAGGCACACACGGCATGGTGGAATTGGCCTGAAGGAAGGAAATTTGTTCATCCCATGGCAGCCAGGAGGCAGACAGAGAAAGGAGAAACCAGGGTCAAGAGTCCACCTTCCCAGGTTATGTCTCCAATGACCCACCTCCAATAAGACTCACCTCTGAACAGCAAATTGAGCTACTAAATTTGTCAGTGGATGAATCTCCTGAGAAGTTTAGCATGCGATTACAGGCGTACACCGCCATGCCCGGCTAGCACACGTCATTCTTTACCTTCCATGTAATTTGTCAAAATAACAGAGATTTTGTTCTTACCAGAATAATTTGTATGCTTTGTGCTGACTTTCCATGCCTTTGATTTTTAAAAACCAAAGAGCAAGGAGTTTAGAAAAAGCTAAAGTTCTCTACAACTACTATGGTTGACATATTTCTTTCTAAATATTAGATTACATTCTGAAAAATAGTAGCAAAGCCATTCATTACTATTTAACACTTACACTTCATTTGACTAAACTGCCTGCTGTTCTTGGTAGCTCTTTTTGATGTTGCTTTTTCAAGATAAGATGATACAGTTAGGAATATATCACTGCCAAGCATCAAATCAGCCTTGGCACTTACTGTGTAGCCAAAATACCAACAAGTGAATTCTTCATCTTGACACCAATGACATAGTGCTGTCATGCAGGAAGGTTGTCAGGGACGCCTACACTCATATGGCCAGCCAGTTGGCCACGGATGGTCATGCAGTAGTATAACAGCTTGCTTGCCTTCCTTCCTTCCTTCCTTCCTTCCTTCCTTCTTTCTTTCTTTCTTTCTTTCTTTCTTTCTTTTTCTTTCTTTCTGTACTGGAAATCAAACTCAGGACCTTGCACTTGCCAGGCAGGCATGGCACTACTGAGATAAATCCCCAGCCCAAGAGCTTTCTTGATTGTGGGTACAGTGGTTAAATTATGCTCTTCTTTGCAGAGGACTGATACTTCTTGTATTATTAGTATATTAGTATAAATGCTACTTTATGTTATTAGTATAAATATAATGGTGTTATCACAGCATATTAGTATTATTTGTTAGTTATTATTCTTGTTTCCAAGATTATATACTTTAATCATTAGGATGCCCTGGATGCTTTTTTCATGCCTTCAATGGCCATTACATGCTTTCCCTCTCAAGATAAACAATAAGAAAGTAATGATAAAAATTTTCTTAAATTATTATCATATATTAGTAGACAGTTTTATTCTTTCCCATTCTTTTTCATCATATCTGGTGTTATTCACAGTAATTTATGAGCTTGTCTCATGCTTCCTCAAAGTTTTTGCCAAAAGTCTAGGGCTCCAGATTAGATCTTTGGCACCAATAATTTTGTTCATATTTGTTTCTTTTGTGACAGTTTTTAGAATAGGCATTCTCACACAATGTAGACTGAGTGAAAACAGACACAACCTTTTGGACTTTTTGACAATATCCATCAAATATTTACATGTATTGTCCTTTGACTTGGCAATTCCATTTCTAGAAATTCAGCTAAAAATAGTTGATATTTTTAACTTGACTTTCTGACCCAAGAGCAATATGATAGTTAGGAGGCTCGGCTAGCAGAGGAATATCTATCTAGTACAGTGATTTCACAGCACAGTCCACTTTTGAAAGTCTCAAGGAAGTCCATCCTGAAGAGTGGTATTTAAAATTCCCATGTGTAATATTTTACCCATAGGACAAATCTTCCTCAACTTCTAGCCACTCTCTTTTTATGTTTGTTTGATAGAACTTAATTTATGAAATTTAAGGCAGCATGAAAAGCAGTAGTCTTCCTAGTTCTTTTAAAGTGAAGACGTTACTATAACACATGGATTTTACACTTTAAAAGTCTTTTGTCTATACTTAATAGGAAGAAAAAACTGCTAAAATTTATAGAAAGATGAAAAGCAAAGTGGAATATTTGCGGAGGATAACATGTGAGAGGGAGAGATCCCAAGCACTCATCCATCTACACTCAACATCTAAAAGTTGTTTATTTTTTGTAGGCAACCTCATCCTCCTGCATTCACAACCTCAAGTCCAGCATCTTCATTACACACATTTGTCAAACATCCTTGCTGTGAACTATGTTGCTTATAAAAACATCTCAGCAGACATCCATGATGAAGGTTACCCAAAGACTTCTACAACTGTAAAAACTTCTCATTCAACTGAGGAATTTATTGGTAAGAATAAAAGAAGTTTCTGGCATCAATATATTAAGATTTTTGAATAGGAGTCTATAACTTCCATTCCCCTAGCACTACTACTACTACTAAAAAAAAAAGAAAAGAAAATAATTTCAAAAAATAATTTTATTTTCCTTAACTATTTTTTCTGCCTTCAGAAATGTGTTTTGCAATTGTTCCAGGTTCATCCATAAAGAGTCAAGGAGATTAACTCTCTGATAGCAATCATCAACAATAAATACTGAATATGATTCTTGATGGTTATAGGAGAACTAGACTCAATATTTTAATCTGTGCTTACATCAGGAGGGAGTTGATAGCTCAAAGAAAAAGAATGATTTGAATTTTCTCAGGGAGGTGCTCAGATGAACAAAAACAATACCAGCCCTGCTTGAAAATAATGTCCCTCATCTGCAGTAGGAGTGTATGTTCCCTGTTATGTGTGCTCATTTCATTTGCAATGTGTCATTCTGCTGTTAGAACCAAGAAAGACAGAAGTGAAACAGAGCAAATGGAACTCTCGCACACAACTTGCAGGAATGCAAATTGGTACAAGCATTTTGCACCACTAGCTGAAATCAATCAAAGCTGCACATAGGCCGCTGCTAGGGATATGTGCATATCTCCAAAAACTTATGCAGATGTTCCTTAAAAAGACACATACTAGATAGAACATCGATTACAACATCACCCATCTATCTTAAATGGAGACTATTCAGTGCCCTTTCCTGATATTATAGAGAAATAAATTGTGGAATACTCACACACTGGAATTTTACAAAACAAAGAATGATCTACAACTATGTCTAATATGGTAAGTGAATCACACCATTGTTGTGTAAGAGAAAAAAGACAGACATGAAAGCATTTTGAATTATTTCCCTCATACAAAGACCAAAAAAGGCAAAGTGAATCTATTCCATTAGAAGTCAGGATAGAGGTTGGCTCTGGGGACATCTAGAGGAAAGAGGCATAGGAGGGCTTCCATGGGTGGGTCATGTTCTGTTTCTTGGTCTGACTGTGTTCTGTTTGTGAAAATCCACAAACTGCAATTTTTATATGGCAACTTTTTAACATTTAATGAATGAAAAGTTAAAAAACAAAAGAAAACAATGAACAAATCTATATCCAGTCAATCAACTAAACTAGATAACTAGATGAAGAAACAGGACAAACCATGGGCAAATCTTTGTCTTTTTCTCCTCTCTAACTCCAACATGGCTGGAGAAAGGGACCCTTGGCTTCTGGTATGGGAAGCTCTTTTCCCTTAAATCTGGATTATCATATGTATAATTCAAAGAGTTAGCATTCAGAAAGCTTCAAGCATGGTCTGAAGCATGAAGATATGTCTGAGATGGCAAAGTGAAAACTTATCCTAAGCCATTCCTGCGTAATCTTTCATCCTGAGGTGGATGTTTATCAGCTTTTCTGGGTCTATTCACAGTCTCTCCCTTCACCACCTGCCCCTTCCTTTGTTTTGCAGGAGAATATTTTGCTGAGTGAACCTAGCAGCTCAGCCTGCTGCATTACATAAATTAGATCTACCTTCTATTAAGGGTCTTCTGAGCCTCCACAGAGTGCATACCAAGTGGCATAGTCTCTGGTCATCATGATCAGACCCTGAGATTTCTTTATATACATAAGCAACAGGATCGGTATGTAAAGACTTTTCATTGGGATGGCAGCATAACAAGATTTCTCTCCCATCCTGGCTTCAATAAAACTGTCCTTCATAGCTAGAGAAAAGCACTCCTCGGGTTGTAATGTTTCTTGTGGGAACAGCATGCATCTGCAATGCTACTAACTCCAACACATTCCCATCAGACGTCGAGAACACATTTTTACACTTGCACCTAAATAAATGCTATTATATCTAAAGGAGCAATGTGGTCCACTGATAATTATTTGTGATCAGAATAAAGCCAAGATGTGATACAGATCTTTCTGGACCAACAATAAAATCATTATTTCTACTGACTCTGTGTTAGCCGAGTTGTTTATTTAATGATGATGATGATGACCATGATGATGAAGACAGGTACATTACTGCTACTGTTCCAAGTGTTTTATGTAGTAACTCATGTTAATGCTCAGAATTGCCCTATGTTCATTGTATTGATGAAGATGGTGAGGCATTGAGAGATGAGATAAAGCCATGGAGTTGGAGCTAGAATGTGAACTATGACAGAGAATGCTTGCCAGGAAGGTCATCTTTGCAATGTTTTGCAACTATAGTTACAACTCAGCTTGGGGAGCCCCTACAAACAATGTTTCTCCAAGTAGGCTTCCAGAACCAGCAGCATCAATATCTCTTGGGAACTTGTTTCAAATACACATTCTTGGGTTCTACTTCAGACCTAGCGAACCAAAAACTAAAGTAGGGGGGAGGGGGCCGACACCTAGTAATCTGTGTCTTAATAGTCTCTCCAAGTTAGTTTCTTGAATTCAAGTTCAAGAATCACTACTGTCTTAGAAAATACACCCCTAACTCTTCTGCTTCACAACTGAGGAAACAAAACAGGCCCAGAGAGGTTGAGCCACTTGTTCCAGACCACAAAGCTTGTTAGTGTCAGTGTCAGGCTGAGACCTGCGGTCCTCTGCGTCCTGTTATAGGTCCTCTCCCTCTACACAGCCTTCAGACAGCAGATAAGGGCCCGATATGCTCCAAAAGGTAGTTTTAGTATTTTTCTGCTACTGTCCCAAATGCCTTGCCTGTGGCCTGCCTGCATCATATACAGCAGGGCCAACAAGGGAGATATTGTTTTGGCTGCAGTAGGCTTTAGTTCCTGACATATAATAGATGACTCCACACTGTGACCTCTCTGGATGACTGCTTCCTGGCAGTCCTTTTTAGTTAGGTCCATGAAGGGACCCTGCCCTACCCATAACAAAAGTTTGACACTGAGCATGTGTGAGCATGCCTTTTTTTTTGCTATCCAAACAATTTCCCCATATACTTAGAGGCTCAGTCCATGCACTGTTCACCCTTTTGGTGCATAACAAGTCCTCATAGAAGCCTTCTCTGATGATACTTTTTTT